ATAATTCCGGTTCTTTACGACTCATTTTTGAAGTGTAATTTTTTTCTTCTAATTCTAGGGTACTGTCCATAAAAAAAAATAATAATGTCCTCAGCCCCTTATTTAGTCATAAATTACCCTCGCCGACAGTGTATAATATATAATGTTTATTAATAACGATCTGTGGCTATTTTACGACATCTGAAGAACGTAATAAATAAAAGTGTTTAATTTAATTGTATTGTTGTGCTAATTATTAGAATATTGGAGTTTCAACTTTAGCTCTAGAAAAACATGATTCCGCATATTCTGAATGTTAAGATAAAAGTTATTACTCTTCTAGAAAGCTCACACATATACTCGAACCTTGATTATTGCAGCAAGGTTGTTGGTTATTGAGGAGATTATTTACTACCCGTGTTAGATTAAACATGGACGAAATGTTATTTTTCTAAGTTCGTCAACGCTGTAATTCACAAATCAAACGTGAATAAAGTCCTATCCACTTGAGAATTACACCTCACAGATGAAATTGCTGTTATAAGAAGATTTAATTTCGTCAAGAGTACACGATACCGACTTGAATAGCATGAAATTTTATCTCCATCAGAATTACAAATTACAGACGTAGCTTTGAATACAACTGTGTTTTAAATCCAGTGGGCAGACCTCAATAGAATGGAGCTTTACCTAGTCAAGACAATATACAAGTCGTAAATTAAACTTGCATATAAAAATGTTCTTCTCGTCAGACAAACATCAAAAGAAGTGATGTGTTGAATAAAGTACTAGTACCAGTAGTTTTCATTTACTTCCTATACTTTTATTTGGTTAGGTAATTCAGTAAAACTAAGAGATTTTGAAACTCTGAAAACGTGGGTTAGAATCTTTAAAATCTACAATAAAAACGTGTGCTTGTATGTGTATGTATGTATGTAATGTTTTAATGCGTCAGACGTATTTATTAGCATTAGCTTCAGAACTGGTCATTTAATATTCAGTAGTTCATTGATACGCTAAATCACAAGAACTAAGAGAAGCCATTTAACCACAGGGTTACTGAAGATCCATTTGTAACATTTCTTATTTTCAGGTAAAATACACTTGATTTGTATTGGATTGATTGACGTCACTATCTGTTTTTCTCTTTTTTAAACATGTTTTCCTCATGTGATGTCGTTATTATGGCCGAAAATAAAGAATAAAAATACTGCTTTAATCGCCTTGATAAGAAATTAATAATGCAATGTTTCATTTATTACAGTGTTATAATATACAAGTTATTTGCTTTGTCTTTTGAAGCATATCTCATATCATTTGTGACGTATTGTGGAAGTTAAATATTTTTTCATAGTTTATAACAATACAGGTCAATATTATTAATAGTAGAAATTGTTTATAACAATACAGGTCAATATTATTAATAGTAGAAATTGTTTATAACAATACAGGTCAATATTATTAATAGTAGAGATTGCTTATAACAATACAGGTCAATATTATTAATAGTAGAGATTGCTTATAACAATACAGGTCAATATTATTCTAGTAGAGATTGCTTATAACAATACAGGTCAATATTATTCTAGTAGAGATTTGTAGGCTCCTGCTCCGTAGAACTGAGCTGCTGCAAACCTTCCAACTGTGCTGGTGAAATAAAATACATTCTGAATTCTCTATAGAACCCAAACCAAAATACGTGCTACTAATACAAAAAACGCAATACACTGATAATGTTTTGACTTGAAAGTAAAAGAGGGAAGAAATATCAGCATAATTAAATCGGTCTAAATTTCTAAACGTACACAAGCTATATGTACTTCTAGTATAGTTGTTATTGTTTTTGCTGCTGTGCCTTGGTGTTTGAAGTTTTCTACCAGAAAAGCATACTTTTATTCATATTATATATGCTCCAAATTCATTGATTTATACTGCCTTGACAGACAGCCTTGTACCGCTGAAATATTACTGGAATGCGGCTATATATTACTGAACTTTAACCTGGAACACGTGGAGCATGAGCCTGTACCACTATATTATTACCTGAAGCACAACAACATACAACTTTAATATTATACCCAGACCGTCACCATCAGCCTCTGATCCCACCATACATTACTGAACTATTACCCCTTAACTGCCCCATACACTACTGAAGTGTTACCCTCTGACCGGCACCAGACACTGCTGAGCTATTACCATCTAACCGCCACCATGGGTAGTGAACTGTTAGTATCTAATCGCCATCGTACAGTATTGAACCGCCACCGTGCTTACTGAACTATTAATTCTTAACCACCGCCATACGTACTGAACTACTACCCCCTGAACGCCACCATAAACTACTGAGTTATTAGCCCTAACTGCCACAATACACCACTAAACTACTACACCCTGACCGCCACCACATATTGCTGCACTATTACCCCTGACCACTACCATATACTGTTGAGCTATTACCCCCTAATCTCCATTATACACTACTGAACACTTACCTGGAACACGACGTTGTTAATTCACTGTTGAAGCAACATTGGTATGTCACGCAGAAAAAATAAAAAGCTGTGACAAGTATTTACTCTAACTGCCAAACGAGGATCAAAATCAGATAGGTGACAAATTAATAGCTGCTTATCATCTGCTAACCGTCAACGAGGACATTTTAAAGCCTATTAAATGACAATAAACGATGTAAATACCATATGAAAAGTTAGACTGAAAAATATTGAGATTACATTCGAGACTAAAATAGCCAATGTTTATTCAAGAAAAGGTGCACCAAAGTTATGTATGTATATATATAATTACTTAATTGTTTTCTAGGACATTATAAACCACATATGTTGTTTGGGCATTAAACGATTCTTCCACTGGCTGTCGATTGTCGTTAGATGTCTGCTTCCAAAAGTAAAGTAGCGATTAATTATATAGTTGCTATTTTGCTTTTTTTACGTAACTAGTTCGGTGTATTACAACAAACCAGATGGTTTAATAATTAGTTCAGTATTCTTATTCAGTTGAATTATAGCCTTAAGTTCTGCAAGAGAAATGTTGTCTGGAATCTGCCGACCTAATTTGTTAATATTATATTTTCATACATCTTCTTTTAGATTTGAGAGTTGTTTGGTCACCTGGTTATTTGGCAGGAAGATCTTTAAAAGAAAATTTCAGCACGAACGACTAAGGTTTTTCATCTTCCTCTTTTTCGATCACATGTAATTGACATAGGGTATAGTTAATTTTTGGATCACATATAACTGACATAGGGTAAAGTTAGTTTTTGGATCACTTGTAATTGACATAGGGTATAGTTAGTTTTTGGATCACATGTAATTGACATAGGGTATAGTTAGTTTTTGGATCACATGTAATTGACATAGGGTATAGTTAGTTTTTGGATCACATGTATTTGACATAGAGTATAGTTAGTTTTTGGATCACATGTAATTGACTTAGGGTATAGTTAATTTTTGGATCACATATAATTGACGTAGTGTATAGTTAGTTTGAACGTACGCAAGTTATAAATATGCAAGCATGCTTTTGTAAATTGTGTACATTCGTGTTTACGTTTTTGTTTTTCAATTCACGTATTTGTTAAAATTCCACAGCATGAGACATTTCGCAATATGAAAGGTTAAACGGATCTTCGAGGTCAAGATGATTAGGTGTAAAGATTTGTAGGCTCCACCCCTTACCATAATTATTGAGCTGTTGCAAAAGTTGCACTTATGTAAGCGTAATTTCAACTATTTAGTAATAAGGAAAAAGTAAAAGGCGTGAAATTATAATTTTAAGATTAACGTCAGAAAATAATTAACATAAGTAGTAGTAGAATGAATGACATAAGAATGTATTTCAGTAATCATAAAAATAATAATTACCAAATAGTCTCTGACTCAACGGCAAAACAATATGACTATTTTCTGTGGTGTTGGGATATCCCATCAGAACCGGAAATTCGGAAGCTTAATAGTGAGATACAGGGATCATTCTTCCATGCTGTTTTCTTTTATCCGAGTAGTCGTTAAGATGTTTCTGTCCTACCAAAGTGGACTACCCGCACGCTATGGCCATGCTGTTTCGCTATTATTTGAGGTATTCCTCTTATCCTTGTAATATTCTTGCACTTCACTCAAAAAAAGTCTTCGTTTTCTCCGTTTCTCATCTGATCTCGAATCGTTCCCCTCCTCCTGCTCTCAGCCCCATTTGAAGGCAAGTCGTCAGATACATCAGTAAGTTTACCGCTCCTGTACGCAGAAATACTTCTCTTTAGGCGCTTCACAGCATATCTTCCGCCCAAACTTCTCTGTCTTCTCTTATGGCTAAGATTTAGAGCAACTGGTGTGCCATCGTGATCATGTTCACACCTGCTACTCTTGTAACACCTTGGCTATTTTACAGGATTGTTTTGAATCCAATCTCGTTTCCATCTCGAAAAACAAACACTCGGAGATTCTGTCTTGTTGTCTCAGTAGTTCCTCACAGGTTTCACACAAGTTCGGGAATGGTGAGTGTTCCATGGATATCGTAATACAACAGTGACATGACCATTATCTGAACTAAAGTATAAAAATTACCAAACTCTACTAAAAACAAACAATAGTAGCTTCTTTTGATGTTGTCCAATTATATATCAGCGTACACTTCTGGATCTCTTATAAAATAATGTATATTTCTGTAGATTTTCAGAAAAAAAAGACTAAATACCGGATATGGTTTTTACAAAGTGCCTTACCATTTCTACTGCCGTTGAGTCAGAGATCCCTTGTTAAATAGTGTGTATAATTTGTATTTCAATGAAGAAAACTAAATCCTTTTCCCAAAAAAACACAATTGCACTATACAAGAATAGGAAATACACAGCAGACCTGACTAAACTTGAGCTAAGCCTACCGTATTTATTATGTATAATTCGATAACGTTTCTGAATTTTGTCGCATATTACACTAACTTCATCTGTGTATGTTTAGTAAAATTCAAGCAGCCTAATGATTTTATACTGTATGTTATCTATTCAGACCTCGAAGAAGAAGTTTTTTGTGTTACGAACTGATTCTTCTTCGGGTCCAGCCCGTCTGGAGTACTATGATAGCGAGAAAAAATGGAGACTCGGAGCATCATCGAAACGAAACGTTTATCTGAGGGCTTGTTTCAATATCAACAGGAAGATGGACACTCGCCAGAAGTTTGTCATTGCCTTGCACACTAAATATGATTGTCTCTCTGTAGCCATGGACACTGAAGAAGAACTCGAAGCTTGGCTGACGGCCATGTTGGAGCTACAGCAGGGAATAACAGAAGAGAACAGACAAAATAAGCCCAAACCTACTTTTGGTGAGTTCATTATAGTGCCTCATTGCAAAATTAAGTGTAAACCTATAAGATCCATAAGCTTAATATAGTGTTTTTTTTATGGAAAAACTATATATAAACTTATCGTTAGTAAATTTAGTTATAGTTTCATTTCAAATAGACTAAGCCTCAAGGTACGTTTAAATTATTTTGTATATTTCAGAAAGGTTATCTAAAGCTTTGAGTGGGCGAAGTTAGTATTACTTTATTTAACCTGGCTAAAATTTTAAAACCTAAGATTGCATGTTTTTAAAGAAGATATGTATTTTTTAAGATTTGCTGCTCAATTCAGATTATCGTGTAAAATTTCGGAATACTTAAGCAGTAAAATATCAACAAGATTAAAAAGTGGTATTAAGTATAACAATAGAACGAAAATATTATGCATCTGTCACTGTCTCAAAACAGCTTTTAGCTGGAAGAGTAAATTAATAGTTCTTACTTTTTATGGACAGTTAATGACAAAAACTCGTATGTTATGCGATTGAGTTTTGTCTGAGACTTCGTGTTGTGGTCCAGCTAGCCTGAAAAGATTTATTAAGAAAACCCTGCCCTAAAAAGAGATCTAAACAAACACTAAATCCCCCCCCCCAAAAAAAAACACATTTAAACAAATATTATCTTTATTATCATTACTTCAGTATGTTTTAACCACACGCGCGCGTATATATATATATATATATGGTCATTTTTTAATTAGTTTCTTCTTTTTTCAGTTGATTTTATTGTTTATACATAATGTTTAATGACTTGCTAACATGTTTATAGTTCTCCGAGGTTTATTGGGATTAGATAAATCAAGCAAAAGCTCTTACTGGCAAAAGCCTATAACAGGATGGTGTTGAAATTACATTATCGTATATTTTTGCTGAACGATATTGTTATGAAATGTTATATGCACTTTTATTCATTATATTTTGCCCCCCAGTGGCACAGCGGTATGTTTGCGGACTTATAATGCTAGAAACCGGGTTTCGAAACCCGTGGTGGGTAGAGCACAGATAGCTCTTTGTGTAGCTTTGTGCTTAATAGTAAACAACAACATCATTTTATTTTTTGACACATTCTTTCAGACTACAGTGATTTTAGTAATACTGGTTACAAGCCTGCTAAAATCTAAATTGTGCGCGGTTTTGAATAATTAAATTTATTGTTTAAATTAAAAAACACCAATGTAGCATGTTCAGAGAGAGGAGTTAGAAACAACTGTTTAAAATTAGGATTAAAGAATTTCGAATATTTTACACTTCAGAGTTAAGAGGATTAAAAGTCATTGTTTCTGAAAGTTTTGTCTCGTTTGCTGCTCAGAAAATGGAGTTGGAAGAAAGAAGAAGAAAAACAGGTCATCACATCAGTTTCAACTTTTTTATTTATTTTATTTTTGTTGTTGTGATTTTGGGAGAACATAGCTATATAATTTATTTGATGATGACTACACTTAGTAACATATATAATAGTGAAGGGATCATGTGAAAATGAAGCAGTAACTCTGTACTTGAGCCGGGTTTGTGTGCCATTCGTGATATTTGAGCTAACTGACGTTCCCTTTTTGAAGATCAATGTAACAGAGAAAGGATTGATAGTATATTTCAAAGACAGCACTTCAGTGAGCACTATACGTTATATTATAATGTTTTTCTTGAGGTCAGTGTACAAAAAACAAAGACATTATTGATAGGAAGCTTAAAGTAACTCTTCAGTTTGAACTTATGCACTTTGATTATACTTCACTTAGCTGGTGCTGTCTTTCCTTAGATCGTGTGGTTGAAAGGTGGTTAATAAGAGAGCTCGAAAATGCCAGTTATTTCGAACTTGTTGGTTTTCTGGATATTTATAAAAGCGCTAAAAACCAAAATAAAATGGCACTGCAAAGCTTACATAGCGACTGTTTGCATAAATAGACGTGCTTGTTGAATTAAAAACTTGGGTCATCTGATTGCTTAGAAATCCATATCGACCTAGAATGGCTTTCGGAGCTATCCTTACGACAGTTATTGTAACTAAATTATCTATTAGCACATGTTTAGTTATTATTCTGAATTATAATTGCTTTACCAGATGCTTACATGCACATATATTTTATCCGAACTTAGTTTTATTTTCATATAGAAGTTAAACATTTTTTCCTTTTTTTTTTCTTGCTCTTTTGTCTTACAGAGAAAATATCTCTCACGGTATGTTTCAGTTCTTCAGTGTTACGTGTGTGAATGATATTACGTCTGATAAACAAGTTTCAAAGTATCCTTACGTTTATCCATTCACTTTGTTAGTTGCCACTGTTTTGCAGACATAAAATACAAACTGAAACGATTGGAAATCCATTTCTTATAACTCGTTCTACTTTTCAACCATGTATGTGTAATTCTGTGTAGTTTAGTATTCTGTCCCGGTCTGCATAAACTGTGTAAGGAACTAAACAATGCATAAAACCAGTATATGTTACTAAGCTTATAAGAACAAGTTCAAATGGGAAAATGTACACATCGTTAAGTAATTGTTTTCTTTAGATGAACAAGTATACCCTTACGAGGCCAAATTTTGTATAAAAATTTGCAGAAACATAGAACTATTAGAAAGGACTTTCAAAGAATGATGTGGTCTTCTTTTGCGGTATCCATCGAAATAACACAGCTTTGACCATTATCAGTGTTTGTGATGTCTGTTATTATTCTTTCAACAAGGGTCGTTCACTGTTGTTTAACTAGTAATCTCTAAAACCGCCGCCATGTCAGCAATGCCACCACAACTCTGAACGTTTTACCACTAAATAGTAAAATGAATTTATTTAATGATAAAATTGTGATCGTTAATTGAACTTTTGAATCAAGTTCAGAAAATTGAAAACTATCTGTTGAAAGTGCTGAATCTATATAGGAAAGAACGTAGTTCTGCTTTAAAATTACTTTTGTGTTTCGTAAGAAGATGTCGAGGGTTTGAGGTACAAGGGGTTTCCGAGTACAACAGAACAGTGAAAACATTTTATTAACTTACTCTGAAGGAAAAACCTGTAAGAAATATCGAACAAAGGTACAATGTCAATAAAAACGTAATTTGAATCATAACGCAAACATTCAGAATCTTAAATGGCTTTTTGGCGATTAAAATTATAAACACAAATTCGGCTGTAGATGAAGAAAATTAATAATGTGGTCAAACGATCTTTAATACACTGAGATTCTGATTTTAAGAAAAAGTTCTTACTTCAAGGTTTACGGTTACTACTTGGCATATCGCAACAAATATTATTTTACATAAATCAATCAGACAATGGAATCAAACTACTTCACAAAATGTCGCTTGGTAGCATATTTTTACATTTTGATAAAACAACAACATTGTATTAATTCAGAAGCATGTTTTTCATGATTCATGTTAAAATTAATTTTGATGAAGAACACAATATATTACAGTTTACTCCAAAACCTGTTTTGATATCTTGGATAATAAGAAAACCATGCTTTGCAGGCCTGAAGGTGTCTAAATTTGGTTGCTAAATCCAATCCTCTTTCTTCAAAATTGTGCTGACGATTAAAATATTATTTTTCTAGTACCATTAAACTTGTGAAATAAAAGCTTCGGTTTTCGTATTCGTGGTACCACTGGTTTTGATGTGATGTATTCGTAAGGACAGCGAAAGGTTACTCACGTGAATCTCTAAAAACTTAAGTTCAAACATTACTTGTACGATTCGACCTCAGTCACCTCACCATATCTATATATGGACCAGAAATACTTGTAGGGCATTTAGCAATACGATCTTTGCACGAATGTAGTGTGACGTCGATGTTAGCTTTTTCTAATGGTTAAATGACAAAAATCGCTGTTGTAGTTTTATTTTCCTATCGATGTGATACGTATAACATTCTTTCTTCAAAATGCATCTCATCTACGTTCACTGTTTATAGGCCGAGTATTAATGCGTATATATATATGTAAAATAAGTAAAAATTTAGTTTCTTATGAAATTATTTGCCTGAAATTCTACCCATCATTTTATGTTCCGATATATCTAAAAAAAAGTAAACAGAATTAAGCGATAAATGAGATACTGTTTAAAATATTAACTTTTAATAGTTATCAGGCTACGTGAGATCAAGTTGAAATATCAACTTTTTATAGTTATTTGACAACGTTGAGATCAAGTTGAAATATCAACTTTTAATAGTTATTTGACTACGTTGAGATCAAGTTGAAATATCAACTTTTAATAGTTATTTGACTACGTTGAGATCAAGTTGAAATATCAACTTTTAACAGTTATCTGGCTACGTTGAGATCAAGTTGAAATATCAACTTTTAACAGTTATCTGGCTACGTTGAGATCAAGTTGAAATATCAACTTTTAATAGTTATCAGGCTTCGTGAGATCAAGTTGAAATATCAACTTTTAATAGTTATCTGGCTACGTGAGATCAGGTTGGAATATTAATATTTAATAGTTATCAGGCTAGGCGAGATCAAATATTAACTTTTAACAGTTATCAGTCTTGAATAAGGCTACACAAAATCAAGGGCAACATACGCACGTTCATTTTTTCTTGCTTCAAACAAGCTATCCACAACATAAAAAAAAGGACTAAAAATAAGGAGAAGCTTAGCACTAGTTTCTTCTGGTCCGTTTTGAAACTCTAAATACCAGTTAGGGAGACACCGAGGTTACTAGAAAGTCGGATATGTTTACATCGTCTTAGTGACGGGAAGATTATTTGACACATTATATCATTGGCTTTCAAGAAAATAGGCACGTGACATTTCTTGATTACGGTGTAATTCAAACGTATCTGAAACTTAGATTACGGTGATATCAAAGTTCAAAGGTACTGAAAACAGCTTTTCATATTTTTGATATATTTCTCTGGCTTCTTAGCAACTACCTTTTTTTCTTCATAGGATAGTTTCTGATCTTTGTAGTTTGCCAGCGTCTTTCGCTGTTTTGAACATACTTGACTTTCCCATATCCCATTTTCAACACATTTTATTTC